ACACACACACACACACACACACACACACACAGCTCCACCCCATCCTCTAGTTTCAACTCAGCCCCTTCCGTTCTCTCCACAGTTTAATAAGGGCGGGAGCGCTAGATGAGTCTCACATCAAGTTCCGACCCTAAAGACCGCAAAGAAAAAAAATGTATCGACTGCTCCGACAGTCTTCTCTCTCGGCGTTCTGGGGGGTTAGTAGCGATGATCCGACCTCTCCCCTCCGAGCCTCCACGCCTCCCGACTACTACATGGGTTACCAGCCTTCATCACCAGAACCGGCTACAACTCCATACAGCTCACAGCTCCCGCTAGTCCGAGAAGAACATCTCCAGCTTCCGCTACTCACCCCTGAAGATCTCCAGATGTTAGAGCGGGATGCGGAGGCTGACCATTTCCAATGTGTCTGCAGTGAATCGTTAGCTGAGGATGTGGTGAGATGGCTCAGCTCGGCAACACCTCATCTACCTCCAAACACCACTGAGGATTCGGACGCAACGCCTGAAATCTCGCTGCTGGATGTCAAGCCTCCACCAGCAGCAACTGCCTCTCACAGCGTGATTGCAGAGTCGGGAGTGGAATCGCTTCATCCCTGGCCTTCAGCGGGCCCTGAAGCCAGGGACTCGCTTCATCAGGCATGGCCTTCAGCGGGCCCTGAAGCCAGGGACTCGCTTCAACAGGCATGGCCTGAGGGGGGGCCCTGAAGCCAGGGACTCGCTTCATCAGGCATGGCTTGAGGAGGGCCCTGAAGCCGGGGATTCGCTTCACTCAGCCAGGCCTGCAGAGGCCAGTCACACTGCCTCGGAGCATGAAAAGGGTTCACTTCATGCAGCTTCAACAATGTGGGAACCATCAAGCAGCACCACTTCCTGTGGCGATTGGCTGGATCTAGAGGTGATTAGAACAGCTAAGATGGCCATCCTTCATCTGCTGAACATGACTCTGGACTCTTACGTTCGGGAGATATGTAACGGCTGCATCATACATCACCCCAGCCAGTTAAAACATCTGTGTGTAACGGTACGTGACGAGAACGCGTTTTACGGAGCTCATTATGACGAAATCACGAACCGAGTCATGAAAGATCGGTTCATATCCACCGTCCAGCTGATTCTTAGATCTTGTGGAGTAACAGTGGATGATTACGCAGTAAAAGTGATCACACAAACGTTATTTCAACTCAGATTCGAGCAGAATGTGTTTGAAACAATATACAGTTTATATGATTCCATGTCAGACTCTGAAGTGAAAAGTCTAGAACCGTTCACAAACTTTTACAAAACTGTGTAAAATAATCTTTTTGTTTTCAGTTGTTGTTTTTTTCTGTGTGGTTTGAAATAGTTTTTTTTAATGTAGCGTGATTAGAAACTGTAGTTTTTATATTACAAAAAAGAAGTCTGTTTTTTCATGATCAACTGATTGTATTTCATTTGTAATGTTTATTTTTCATGACCAGCTGAATGTAGGTTTTTTTCCTAATGTTTTTTATTACCAGATGAAAAAAGTATTAAAATGTACCTCTTAGTGTTTTCGAAATAGTTTTTAAATTTAATAAACAAGTTGTAACAAAAAGCTTACAACGACTACTGTTTCTTCTTTAAACGTGTAACTAAAAAGTATCTCTTATGGTGCGTTCACACCAAACGCGATTTCAGCGTCAGGAGCAGCAGGTTTACATRCAAAGTCTATGGTGGAGGCGCTTCAAGCAACGTCGGGAAGTTCTGCGGCGCCTCAAGCGCGATTAGAGCAGCGCGATTTG